GACCCTGGGATCATGACCTGAGCCGAAGGCAGACGCTTAACGACAGAGCCACCCAGGCACCCCATAGCTACTGATTTTAATAGTGAGACATTTCTTTGAGAAATCTGATGCTACTCCAGGGCAAACAGGCTATGGGGGAAAAGTCATCTTAGTATATGACATGGCTCACTGAGATGACATAATGATGTCAACGCTGATTACTAATCTATCTAAAATGATACAACTTTTGGGGAAGGTTCTGGGAGTGAGAAATTGAGTGGGGTGGGCAGGGGTGAGGGAGAGTTGAATATTCATCTTCTGTAGAAAGAATCAATATATACTGTCTAAAACTGACAAGTCAAGAAGTAAAATCTAAGCATGTTATTTGGGAATACTGGAGGTCTATGTGCATGTATAACATGTTAAAAAGTTTTGTTTAGGGGCGCCTAGGTGGCTCAGTCATTTTGGCATCTGTCATGATTCCAGGGTTCTGGGATCGAGCCCCTGGTCAGGCTCCCTGCTCAGCAGAGAGTCTGCTTCTCCCTCTGCCCCTTTACCCACTTGTGCTCTCTCTCTCGCTCGCTCGCTCCCTCAAATAAATAAAATCTTTTTTTTTTTAAAGTTTTGTTTGAAAGGCCGCCACCGTGATATGACCACTTTGGATATTGGTCTGGCAATATCAGTCAACATAAATTCATACCAGATCATCCCACTGCTAGGCATGAAGCCTCACGAAATCTCACACATGCACATGGATTGCTTATTGCATTGTTTGTCCTAAGTAAGGTTTTTAAAATCACCTAAATGTCCAACAAGAGAAAAATGGTCAAATGAAGTGTGATATATATAAATTCAATGTGACACTACACAACAGTGGAAATGGATGTCCTGGAGCTCCAAGCATCCAACATTGATAGACCTTGGAAATCATGTAAGAGGAAAAGCAAGTTAGAGAGCTAAGACAGAAAGTTAACACATCCGGTCTCCCCGAGATTCCTGACCTGCTCCAGTCTCCAGTTCTTGCCCTTTTTGCTGGGTACACAGGTGCTGTCCTGGTTCGCTGTTGTTCTGGGGGTTCCCTATGCCTTACTCTTGTGTTAGCTCCCTGCTTCTTCTTCCTCTTCCTCCTCCTCTCCTTCCTCTTCCCCTTCCTCTTCCTCTTCTTCTTCTTCAGACTTATTTATTAGAGAGAGAGAGAACATGGGGGAAAGATTGTGGGGGGAGAGGGAGAGTATCCCAAGCAGACTCCCCACTGAGTGGGGAGCCCGATGCAGGGCTCAATCTCATGACCCCGAGACCATGAGCCGAGCTAAAATCAAGAGTCTGATGCTTAACTGACTGAGCCACCCAGGCACCCTTCCTGTTTCTTTTATGCCTTATTTTTCTCTTTCTTGGTTTATACTTTTGTTTCAGTGTGTTCTGAAGGTAAGTTTTCAGAGACTTTGTATGTGTGAAAATGTGTTCATTTTACCCTTACCTTCATTCATGGTTTGGCTCAGCATAGAATTCTAGGTGGGAAATGCTTTTCTTTCTGAATTTGAAAGACATTTTCCCTCTGTCTTCTAGCTTCTGCTGTTATTGCTGGGCAATCCAAAGCTATTTTGATTCCCTCTCCTTTGTATTCTGTTCCCCTCTCCCTTCTCTGGAAAAATATCAAATATTCTCCTATTCACCTGTTTGGAAATTTAGTAATGATGCTTTGGTGTGGGTCTCTTTCCTTTTATTGAGGTAGGTACTAAAATATCGGATTGCCAGGAAGCCTACAAAGCAGTATTTAGCTTAGTGACTTTTCCAGGACTCACAGATCTATAGGTTCATGCACTTAATTTTATCAGCACACCAAGACTCGATTCTTCTTTCAGAGATGGACTTACCTCCAACCCAGTTCCCAGGAGACTGATGCGTTAACTGGAATGCTTCTGTCTTGATCTTCCTATCTCAGGTTTTGTTACTCTCCAGCTCCTGAAACCATCCGTGACTCTCATTGAGATCTAAATATATGGCATTTTTATTTTATTTTATTTTTTTATTTTTTAAAGATTTTATTTATTTAT